CTTCCGATATCGTCGTGCCGGCGACGAAGAGTTTTGCGCCAATCAGTTTCCTCGTAGCCAACGACGAAGGTTTTCTCTCCTTCGGCTTTGTCGCACGTTTTTCCTCTTCCTGACGCATTCGCGCCTTCGATTCGGCCCAATGTCTAAGGGCTTTCATCGCAGCTGTGCCCGACGACAAAGGCCTCTTTCATTTTCGTCGTTCTCGCATTGTTACTGACGCATTTCACGCCTTCAATTTGGCCCAACGCTCGCAGTCTTCCTTCCTCGGGTCGCACTCGATGATCTCTATCGCCTTGCCCGAAAGAAAGTGAAGTCTGGTTGCCTTTTTCTAGTAGCTCGTCAGCCGTTCTGGAGATGGTCTCGATGATGCGTTCCTATGCCAATGCACTTGTTGGTGACTTTCCTATTCCTACTCGTGCTCTTATTTCAGGTTCAGAGTTTGGTTTTCATATTGGCAAGTCCTGCAATGTTCCTTAATCTTTCCACGACACTCTTGAAGGTGGTGGTAATCACACTTTCGATAAAAAGTTTCACAAAAAAAATAGGAAACCTGCTCTTATTCTCACTGATGTTGAAACCAGTACTCTCGCGTCCTCTTGGCGTTTTACTCTAGTGGGAAAAATCTTTTGTTGTCACCCAAAATTGGAGATTATAAGGAAAGAATTTGATGCTATGAAACTATTGGGCCGTTGGAATATTGACTTACTTGATGATCTGACATATACTTATTCAGTTATCTCACAATGTCGATTACACACATTTTTTTCTCGAAAAGTTATCAAGATCGACAACTGTTTTATGAAAATTAAGAAGTGAACTATTGATTTTGATCCAAAAGCGGAGTCCCTATCATTCCTGTTTGGATAAAGTTTCCGGGGTTAAAACTACATCTGTTCAACTTAGAAATTCTCTTCTCTTTAACAACTGCTTACGGTAAGTCACTCAAGATTGATAGGCCTACACTTTTTTTTACTCTTGTAGGTTTCATATTAGCACCTACTGTATTTCAAAATTTATGATCACTCAACCAGCTCCGTATGAGGTATGAATTGACATCACTCACAACGGGTATTGACAAAATGTTGAAATAGAACCACACCTGCTCATTGCTCTTATTGTAATATGTTTGGTCATAGTTTTACTATTTGTTTTCGCTTGCTTCCTCATCTAAGACCGAATATCGCTAAAAATCAACCACCTTCTATCCTTGTTGAGAAGGTGCAACCTGATTCTCTTTCCAACATCGTAGTTCCAAATGAAGAACATCATACTACATGTACAGATCCAAATGTGTTTATACCACTCACTGTTATTAAAGAAAACTCACTTACTTGTCAATACACTCGAACACTCGAGAGTGCTCCTTCGATCCGATAAAAGATCAGCTGGTACAACAAGTAGTTGTTTCTAATGTTCAACAACATACACATGCCCGACACACTTTAGATTAACCAAATGATCAGGCGAGCCAATCTTCAGATGAGGATTGACAGGTCTATTCCAGAAGGAAGAAGAAGAATGAAGGTCGACTCGAGCTCGGGAATTTATTGTATAACACATTGGTAACTATTGCCAATGACACTCATCTTACCAATTTATTAGCTGACTCCTTCCCTAGAACTAGAGGTAGAGGCACGACAAAATTTGGTCGCTCTCTAGCCACTTAATACTTCGTATTTTGACATTTTTTGGTATTTTCTTTATGTCTATCATGATTTTTTTGTAATTTTTGTTCTTGGAGCCATTTGATGTGGTGGTTATCGTATGGGCAGGGTGTCATATTTGGACCCTCTCACACAATTTATATGTATCTTATTTTCTATTTAATATATTAGTCTTTGAGCTTTCTCAATATATATATATATATATGCACACAATGTCTTTCTCGATTTCGCTCTGTTAGGGTTTCGCCATTATGGCGAACTCTGGTTTATGCTCCACTGCTCGTGCTTGATCGATCTCCTTTCGTTTTCGTCTGTTTCAAGCGTCATCATCCTCGCGGCTCTCTTCTGATATATATATATATATATATATACAACAAGCATGGTACAATATTTCTATCAATAAATTGTATTTACCATCACTAGTGTCAACAATATATCTAAAGTAACAATATACTCACAAGCAGCTCTCAACTGTAACCAATAGCCTCTACTCAACTTTACTCTTATCCTTTCTTGAAATAACACATGAATAAAATAAGGGTAAGTAACTACAACTTAGCAGGCTACTTGAGATCTACTACAGTTTTTAATACTAAAGAAAAAAAAAAGAAAATATTAGATATTTATTTTAAATGCGAACTAAAAGAACATGACAATAGATTACGTGTTGTTCCTATTAAATATGGTGTCAGTACGAGGACTAGTATTCATTTTAGGCCTATGTTGAGCAACACTATAAGCAATACAATACAAAACATTAAGTCAAATAACTTGAAATAATTCATTGTTTTATTTAGTAATATTTGTCAAATCTTGTACAATGGTCAAGGACATCCTAAATCTATAAATAGGAGGTCAGAAGCTGAACAAAGAAAGAATTAGAAATCACTCCCCAAATTAGGCCCCCCTCTCTCTCTCCCTCTCCCCCTTCGTCCCTGCCCCCCTCTCTCTCAATCCTATGCTCATCACATGTGTTTCAGCTTAAATAGTGTTTACATGGGCAATTCCAGATCCAGATGTTGATGATGTGTCAAACTTTGTATATCTTATTTGATTTCTTTATTTCATCCGAGCAGCGCAGGGAAGCATATATCATGCATACATTTCCATTTTTATAAACCTAGACCTGCCTAACAACTGCATTACACCTGACATCTTTGCGACCACCATTTTCACTAAAATGAGCCCATGTGAATAATAGTTTGTACCAGGCGGCTTGTTCATGTCTTATTATATTTAGCAGGCTCATTATTTTAATTTCGTACTTGACTAGAGTGTTTTTGTTTAATTGTTGGTATACGTTGAACCTGCATCTATTTGCATTCTCTTTAAATGAACAGCACAGTCCATTTTGTACCTTGGGCAAAAGCTTCATAAACTGGAAACTTGATGCCGTTGTAGCTTGAGCAAAAGCTTCTTAGATTGATAACTTGATGTTTGTGTCTGACTCTGACAGTGGTTTTTTGTTTGGACAGCTGTTTAATCGCTAGGAATCTTCTAAGTGGACTTAAAACTTGCTTGGAGGTTTATCGCCACTTGAACTATATTGAAAATAAAGCAATGCATCGTGCTGCTGATGGTTCTCATTCTCTAGTTGAAGGACATGCCAAGGTCGAATTCAATAATTTGGAAAAATTTTCCTTCTTTTGGCGTACATCTTTCTCTAAATTTCTTCTTTTGTGTTGATGGTTTCAGAGCATTGATGTACGTGCAAGGTCAAGGTTTGTGAGAAGACGGGGTAGAGTTCGTCGCTTGAAGTATACTTGGAAGTCTGCTGGTTACCATTCCATCAGAAAAAGGATTTCAGAGAGGAAAGATCAGCCCTGTCGGCAGTATAACCCTTGTGGTTGTCAATCTGCCTGTGGGAAACAGTGCCCCTGCATTTTGAACGGAACATGCTGTGAAAAATACTGCGGGTAAGTTTGTCTCTGCTCTTTCATTTTTGGAAGATAAAAGTAGGGTCTGTGGCCATTGCACTTCACTTTTCCCTAAACAATCCCCAAAATCCGCAATATGGCATAGAGGTTTTGATCGACCTTCTTTTGCATTGGTAGAAAAAATGTTTGGGTGGAATTGAAGAATGTTTGCATTGGCTACCCACTGCAGCACTCCTGCATTCTAAGGAGGAGAGTTGGTTTGCAATTGGTGCATCTATTTTTCGAAGCCATTTTTGCAACTTTTAAAGGTTGTTGTATCTACATAAGGTCTACCCAAACGAGAGGCGCTTGTGATATGATAAAAGGGATCTAATATATCTACTTACCTGCAAGGTTGAAGTGTAAATTGCGTAAGAATCTGAGCAAGGTTCTTTAAGCTAAATTTGACAAAGTGCCTTGATCCTCTATAAGCTATTATCTATTTTATCAAATAAAATTAAATTTATAGTCTCAGTTAATTTATAAAAGGCTGTTAAAATTGTTAAACTGCATCTTTTCCCGGCTAAAAAGCAACCCATCTTTTATTCAGAAACAGTTGGTTTGTACCTTTGTTAAATATTGCACGTCGCAAATCATAATACTCAGGCTATCTATTTTTTTATTTTAGTACTGTAAAAATGGACTTTATATAACTTCTAATGTTGTCAACTAGGTGTCCAAAGATTTGCAAGAATCGTTTCCGAGGATGCCATTGTGCTAAAAGCCAATGTCGCAGTCGCCAATGCCCTTGCTTTGCTGCTGATAGAGAATGTGATCCCGATGTTTGTAGAAATTGCTGGGTCGGGTATGTATTTGACTTATCTTTTGATCATGTAGAAGCTCCCATATTTTAGAAGGACTATTTAAGATTTAACAATCAAGTTGGGCTTATCTTTTGGCTAAAAATATCATATATTAGCGTTAATTGAATTACTTATGCAGATGTGGTGATGGTAGTTTCGGTGGGCCTGTACAGCTTGGCGACAATTATGAGTGCCGGAATATGAAGCTTCTCCTAAAGCAACAACAAAGGGTATGGGGAATCACCATTTGTTGTTGATTAATTTGTTATTTCCCTACTCTATTTTGAGTGATACATTTGATAAATGCCACATGATAACCTGCTCTATATTAATTGCATGAATTAATTAACAACTGTGAAAGAATATTTTTGACAAAGGTATATATATATATTGTAATCTTTGTATATTTGAGACAATTGAGATGAGGAAAGCTATGGTTACCATTCAAGTTTCATAGATTTTACAACTCAAAAGCCATCTAATGTTGGTAAATTGGATCCATTGGTGCATCCAAAATAACAGAACTATATGATTTTGTTTGGGTCTGTCTCTATACCTCCAATCATTCCTCACTCATTCAAATTTTCTTATAATTATCAAAATTAAACTTGGAATATGAGCCAAAACAATTTCTTTAATTAAGAGTATTGTTTTGTTTGCTAGAGAGATAATTAACTTTGTTGGTTTGTGCTCTTTGTAAGTCTCGACTACTCCAAAGTCCTCTTTTATTTACATATTGAGAACCCTCAGTTAATGGGTTAGCTTTTGCCAAGCAATCACGTTTAAAGTTATGCATAAAGTTAGAATGAATGCTTACAAGTTTAATCTCCAAAATTCAGGTATTAATCTAATTTTAATATTTTTGATTTGATATTTTATCATGCATCATCAACTAACTTTTTGGTCTTCTTTTTTTTTTCATATGCTCCTTTGATATTCATATTAAAATCATTTGCTTCACTTTCAAAAAACCACACTAATTATTTGCAAGAAGTTATATTGGGTGTTCTGGTATAATGCCTACTATGAAGATGCGGGAGCTTCCCCGGTCGCTGGACGCGATACTGTAGCTGCAATGATACTGTTCTAGTATAATGCCTCCTATGAAGATGCGGGAGCTTCCCCGGTCGCGAGAAGCGGTACTGTAGCTGCGAAAATACTGTACCCCAACCCTTCTCCCCTATCCTTTTTCTTTCCCCTCTCTATTTATTTTCTTTTTCATGATTCTCCTATTTAATTTCGTACCTATTCTATGCCCGCCTTTTCTATTTTTTTACTTTCCTAAGCATTACCTATTCTATTTACAAATTCTCATTATATGTTGAGCGCTTTAGGAGACAGTTTTTGATGTGTAGATTTTTTAGTTCTTCTTTTGAGCTGTTCTTCCCCTTCGAGTGTTGTACTTGGCGACGAGAAGGTGCTCCGGCTGTAACTCATCCGAGGTGGCAACTGTCTCCAGGGTCTAGGTGGTGCTCTGTATGTAGCTCAACCCTGACGAGACATTTAGCCTTCTGCAGCCACTCTGCCCCGCTTCTAGCGGTCTCCAAGCCACACCCTCCCTTCAGCCTGCTTTCCACTAACCTCAGCTTTCCTGTTCTTCCCTGTTGCAGCCTGTCTTGCCCTCATCTCCTTCTGCCCCATCCGCCAATTGCTCATCCAGCCGTTACCCTTCCTCCCGACACCTGCTCCCTCAGCCAACAGCAGGTTTACGTGACCTACTCATCCTATTCCTCCCCTGCCGCTGCTGGTTTGCTGTTCAACAGCTCCTGCTGTTGCCACTATCCCTCCCAACCTTTCATGCTGCTATCATACTTACCCGCGCTCTGCTGCTGCCGCATGCCACGGGCGGCCATTTTACCTGCTGTCCAGCTGCCGTTGCTGTCGCCCTAGTGTGTCTTTTTATATTTAATATTGTTTATTTCTTCTTTTAACGAGTCCTTAGAACCAATTTCAATTTCAACAATAATATTTCTATTCTTATTGTGGTTTAGGTTTCTTCGGGTACCATAAGATAGTGGTTATCAAGGATATACATGTTGGTATGCCGAACATTTTTAAGTGGTGTAATAGTTTTGCCTAGATCTTTATGAATATCAGTCGAGATATTCATTAGAGTTGAGTGTTTCCAAGCCAAACAATTAATGTGTATCTTTTAATTTAAAGTTTTCAGAAAGTTAAAACGTGTCTTAAGATAATCATTCCAAGATTTTTTAAGTTTATTTATTTTTTTCTTAGTATATTAACGAATTACTTAGGTGCAGCCTTTTAAACTTAGATTTAAAATGCCAATCTTCTTACATACAGGTACTACTAGGTAGATCTGACGTTTCTGGTTGGGGTGCTTTCCTAAAGGTAATTCATTATAATCTCCCTCCTGAACTTTTGAATCATAAGCTTACCAACCAACAACAATCTCGGAATCCTTCGACAGAATAGTGTGGGCAAACATGAGTATCTTGGTGAATACACCGGCGAACTGATCTCTCATAGGGAAGCCGATAAGCGGGGAAAGATTTATGACCGTGAAAACTCCTCCTTTCTCTTCAACTTGAATGATCAGGCATGCAGTCCCATACCTAGAAATATTAATGGCTTGTTTGGGATCACTTTTAATTTATTTTTTTTTTTAAAATACGCTTGTCCTTCTTAGAAACACTTGAAACATCTAAAATCTGTTTTGGCTATTTTTATTTTTTTAAATAACTAAACATGTTATAACATATCAAACATGATTTATTTCAAGTAAAAACATAAATAAGATAAAAATTGATCCCAAACGGCCCCCAAGTTAACCCATAGTGCCATCAATAGACTTCTGATTCAATTTTATCAATGGCAGTTTGTTCTCGATGCTTACCGAAAGGGTGACAAGTTGAAGTTCGCCAATCATTCGCCCGATCCAAATTGCTATGCTAAGGTAATCATGGTAGCAGGTGATCATAGAGTAGGCATATTTGCTAAGGAACGAATCAGCGCCGGAGAGGAGCTGTTCTACGACTACCGTTATGAGCCAGACCGAGCTCCCGCATGGGCGAGGAAGCCTGAAACTTCTGGTTCTAAGAAGGAAGATGCGGGTCCTTCCACTGGCCGCGCTAAGAAACTTGCTTGATTCCATTCTAACCCAGTTTTTTTTTTTTTTTTTTTCTATTTTACTCATTTTGGTTCATTTAATTCTTATTGATTAACATTTCAGATGCATTATTTTTTGTAGAGGCTAGAGGTGTTATAGAAACTAATCACCCATAGCTTTCTTTGCTGTTTTTGATTCAAATTATTAATGTATAACCTTTTTATATGCCTTCTTTAGCATTATCACTCTGTAGACTTTCTTTGGTCTGTTGAATACTGCATGTAGCTGTTAATCTTTAAAATTTCTGCACTTTAATTTTAGACATTTCACTTTTTTATTGGTGATTTCTGGAAATTTTATAAATATATAGACTCCAAAAGTCTGTAGGATATGATTTATAATGATGTTGATGGAGTTGAAATTGAAGATTTTAGCAATAAGCAACGTCCTTATCAATCGGATAGGTAGGCCCACATAAGTTGCCATCCATAGTTATTATATTAAGATGGGTATCTTTCGGTTTTTTAGAACAACCAACAAATTCAACTGCTACGGATTTGTTCATACACAAAATCATATCCAATTTTTTTATCATTATTATTTTTAAATAAATACTATCTCACGACCCTGCTCATGATTTGAAATTAATCAAAACGGGAATAGACGGTCGAATTAAGAGAAATAATTTTTCGTTATTCATTAACCATTTAACTGATGAAAAAGTCAATATTAAATTAAATTAGAACCGTAAAATTACATCTATCGCTTAGTTTAAAATAAATATGAACTAAACAAGCATGTGATTACTGATACTCATGAACTATAGTAATACAAGATAAAAGAAAATAATATACATGCAATATTTAATGTTATTCAAAGATTTTTACAACATCAATAGCATATTAATGTTATTATTATCCAATTGTGTTCACATTTATTTTAGGTTGTATTTCTTTATCTTATATCAGATTCTCTTCCTTCATTATTTTTGGGTGTCTCCTTATGCCTGAATGGATAATAATTATTTTATAATTATTAATTTTTTTTTATAATTATCCTATTGACTTTTTCATCAATATCCAATTAATTAATCCTAAAACTTGGACTCTGATACTATTTTTGTCATGACCCAACCCTGGGCTTAAAATTAATAAAGATGGGAACGGATGGTTAGACTGTGAGAAATAAATTTTCTATAATTATTTACTATTTAACAGAGGAAAAAGTCACTAATTAAATTAAATTAGAATTGTAAAATTACATTTACCTTCCTACACAAAAGTGAGACAATCGACTTCTCTATTGTTCGCTTCCTATTTTTGATTTTTCGCTTTCCATCTCTTATGTTCGACTGCCAAACTCCCTGCATTATTTCCTTTAGCTTTTCATTTCTTCTCCCCCATATCGAAAACGAAATTTCACATGCTAAGAGTTCTTTAATTTATCATCAAATTTTGATTTTATAATATTGCTGATTTTTTTCCTTAAAGAAAAGTTCAATCCTTTCAATCTCTAGCATTGTATAAGATATACATCGGAGTGCTCCTTAGAGCCAAGCTGATTCATGAGTCAGCTTTGGGTCGACATGATAAGTGGCTTGTGAATTGAGCTCGTTGAGCTAACAAACCAAGCTCAAGCTAGTCCTGACTCGACTCATTATCTCATGAGTCAATTCGTTTAAAGACTAATTAATAAAATATATACTTACATATATTAAAATTCAAAAAATATATTTAAATTATTTGAAATATTTAAAAACTGATACTTCACATTTTATATCAAATGATTTCTTATTATATATCTCAAATATAATAATTATATTTATCATTTAATTATATTATTAATTTAAATTTTTAATTTTTTCTCTCTCTTTCATGTAAAATAAGTGGGCTCGTGAGACTGGCTTGAACTCGTAAAATTAAGCTCAAACTCAATTAAATTAATCAGACTCAAGTTTAAGTCGATGGTGGCTCGAACTCGACTCAATTCAACTCATTTACACCGTTATGCTCTCTTGTCAAGCCAATCGTTCAACCCTACCCTTCAACTCGCCCTCATCACTCTTT